ACTAGTAATGATTGTACACGCAGGAAAGAGCTGTGAGAAGCGGCAGCACTGCACTATTTATAATATCAGCTATTATTCACATACAGTGTCACTAACCTTCTATGGCTAAAGGCTGGTCTCAAGAATATGGCAGAGTTGCTGCAGAATTTCTAAGTTTTCAAGGTTAAATAAAAATATAAAGCAAGGATATCAGAAAAATGAAGTGAGTAATGAAAAGGAAATGTATTACAGGGTTCAAGAACAACTTATTTTTCTCTCATAATTTATAGAGGCTGAGAAAGCTAAGAAAGACATACATTAAAAGAACCCTCCAGTTAACTGTGGAATTAAAAATGAATACATGGAAAAGGTTCAACAGTTTAATGGTAGCATTTCACTATAAATTAGCACAGTCAGAATCAAAGTACCAATATGTTTTACAGGGGAATAAAGCATGTGGAAAAGTCTGCATAAATACAGAAAATAATAATGAAAGAAAATTGACACTACAAAATATGAAAACATGTTAGGCACAATATTTTAAATAGTTTATAATGGCCCAAATTCTTGGAAAATTAGTGAAAAGGAAATAAGCACAGATACATATTTAAGGGGATGTAATATGTAATAAAAAATAAATTTTTGGTAGGTTAGAAAAAATGTTGAAACAATTGACTAGTCCTTTAAGAATGGCTGATCTCTTTCTTATATCTTATATGAAAATATATTTGAAGTAGAACAAGAATTAATAATTATATAATTAGCAAAAGGAATGGATTATATAAAGACAAAAGAAAATGTATGGTTTTTTTTCCTTAAACACCAGAAATGAATAGTTAAAGCCAACGATGTATAAAAATTAATCACCTAAGATAAAAATTTAAAGCTCTGGCACCTCCCAAATTATCATGCAGAAATGCAAAAGAGAAATATTGGCTGGGAAAACCATTTTGAGTCCACTGATATTCTAAGGATAATACAATCCGTACTCACATAATTTTATGGATAGAACTGTGTAACTAAGAAAACGAGAAACATGCGCAAGAAATTCACAGAAAAAAATGACTACAAATACTCACTGACAAAAGGAAACTACTCAAAGCCAAACTCCATTGTTAAATAAATTTAGTTTAAATTGACCATTTTTACAGATATAAATTATGAAAAAATTTAAAACTTTGATATTAGCTAACGCTGAAGAGAAATACATTTAAACGTTAGAGATACTATAGCTAGAGGTTAAACTGATGTGTTTTGTACCCTTTGGAATATCTGTAAAATCTACATATCCTTTGACTCAACAGTTACATGTCTAAAACTTTATCCTACAGATATATTCATCAACTTTTGCAAATTATGTGTACAAAGAGGGCCATTATAATATTCTTGTAATAGTAAAATAAAACAAAGCAGAACCAATCATACAAAAGAAACAAAAACCCTGAAAACGACTTAAATTCATAAAAAGAATGAATTCAATAATTATCCAGTGATAAAATGGAATGAAGATGTCTATTTATAAAATATGCTTAATACCTTAGAGACATTGTTATGTGAAACAAATTAAGTTATGGAACTGTTTGTAACATTATCTCATGTCTTTTTTTTCTCTTAAAAGTATAAATTACAGACGAGGTTACAAAGTCAACTAACAGCTATACATCATTTCTCTTAACTCACAGTACCTCTGATAAGCAACATTTTGAGCCTCCAGTTGCCTCCAATTCACAGCCTATATATGGGAAGGTCAGCCGCTGATTTCCATTCCTATCTACCAAATCTAACTTCCTTAGTTTCAAGGACACCTTGTTGAAGTCTCTTATCTTGCTCAAGTATTCACCTCCCTTCATGCTCTCAGGGACAGCTAAGAACACAAGACAAGCACATAAGCTGAATGAATTATTTATATCAAAAAACATAAACATCAAAGATCAGTAGCAGTATTATATAATGGCAAAGATATCTAAATAGCAGCCTGTAAATAGAGATTTAAGTACTCAGGTAAATGGAGAAAAAGCAAATAAAATCTATCCATTCTATCAATGTATTAATCCTGTTGAGTCAGTTTGCATAGCTCAACTAATTCCTAAAAGTCAATTGTGTTCAAAGGTTGATGATTCCAAGAGGGAAAGTACTTTCAAGCAACATGTGCTGGCACATTTTTGTTGAGTTTTACAAAAACAGAGAAGCCGTGTTTGACTTGGAAGGGACTGAAGAGATTATGAATAAAGCCGTAGGGAAGTCAGTCTATTCTGCAATGCCCTAGGTCACTTCAAATGAGGAGCATGGGATAAGGGGATTTGACCTGTCCTTGACAGATTGTTGCTGTTTATCATCTCCGTGCTGTGTCTATGCCATTTCCCTATCTGATTTTCCCAGGCAGCATAAATTTGTATAAACTCCTAAGTTCCGAAAAACGCAGGTTCTGAAATGTGCCGGTTTCTGCCTACTAATTCAAACAAGTTCCCTAACCCCTTCCGACTATGAAATGTACCGTATTCCTCTTTTCTATAAAGTATACCATAAGGACCGTGTCCTTGGGTAGTTGAAAGGATGGAATGATATGAAGAATTCACGGAGTCTACCATGGTGTCTGGAGCATAGTAAACATATCAGAAAATGCAAATCATATATTCTTACTTTTTAATCATGCATTTGAAAACCGTCATCTAAGGTGGGGTTTGTTTGAACTCTTGTATCCCTACACCTAACAGTTATATAAATTAACTCTGAAACAGCTCAGATAGCATAGTCTTGATTCCACATTGCTGGTGCTATCACATGTCTGCCGGTTCTACCTATCCTCTATAACACTGTACATAACACTAGTGTGAAGGATGCACCGTTTTTGCCTTTCTCTTTCCACTGTCTAGTGCAGGTACACACACCAAAGGCCCAACAAATGTTGTTGCTTTAGCTCTCTGGCAGCTGGAGAGATGCAGAGCCTCCAGGATGTTGCAGTATTTACAGCCCGCGTCATACAACTGAGTAACTGGTTAACCAACCATCCAATGAAGAAAATAACAGGCTGATTAGAACTTATGGTAGCAGTTCTTGTGGTTCGATTTCAGGATTCACCTTCCCACTCAGTGTGTTTAGCTATTTCTCTAGCAGAGACACTTTGTGGCTCCATGTCATAATTCCACTCCCCAATCTGGGCTGCTGTACAAATAGAGGCAATCGGCAGGGGCTCCTTACTTCCTCAAGCGTGGTAAACATCAGACCAGGACATGAGTCAGGTTTGCTGGAAGATATCTAGCAACCATTTATAGAGTGTTTGCAGGGTAACAAAGAGTATCATTAGTTGGATCCTAAAGAAATTAACCTTAGACCACGAAAAGAAAAATCCCTGAATTAGGCCCATGCTTAATTTAATTCTGTTAGGCCCCGGTTAGCAAAATAGATGAAGTATTGCTTTCATTATGTAAACGTTAAAGCTGAGGTTTTGAGAAGTTCTACGCAGGATAGCTGCAACGATTGTACTGCTGATTTATCCGGGTCTATTGACAGGAACAGTTAATGCTTAAATTTTTTTTCTTCCCTTTAATTCATTTTGGGCTAATTTTGCATGCTTATGTTGGGTAATCTGAGCAACTAATTTGAAGACAACAACATGCAATATAACAACCATTGTTCAATTCCTATCATCTTGTTTAATGAAATACTGTATCATTTCTAATGTTTATTTTTTCTTTAAAAAACAAAAAAAACCCTATGATTTGTTCTCAGTTACATATCAAAGAAGCCAACAGAAACACAAGATTGGTGTTAAAATCCCATCTACAGTATACTTCTGTGCATGTTTTAGTTTGTTTTTTTGTTTATTCCTTATATTGGAGAGTCAAGAATGTCTAACAAGAATGGGATTTCAAGAGGCTACCTGTTAGAGGAGAAGGACTGGGGATTTGAACTGCACAGGAAGTTATATGAGCACAGTAAGCATATTAAGATTATATGCATATTTGTGGTGACCAGTTGCATATTTGGGGGTGGTTGTTCTCAGAAGTTCTGATGGGGGCCCTACTTAGGTGACATTTGATGCTATTACTGCTATTTTCAAACTCTGGAGAAGCTGCAATAAACACAAACACATTTTCAGCAGTAAAGTTTGCAGCTGTTACTATAAACAAAATAGCAGTTCATCCTTGACTTGCCTTGGGTAAATTCTTCACTGAGACTAGGTTTATTCACTTATAAAATAAATGAAGTAGGACAAAATCTCTTCTGGCATTCCCATGACTCTTTTATTACTAAAATCTCATCAATGCTTAAAAGGGGGAGGACTTTATGACACTGAATTCTAATTCTAGATAGTCTATTGTTAATGACAAGAAAATACATCCATGTTTACATTGCAAGGTAGACAGGACAGGTAGGTATGATAGTGCAGAGTAGAAGAAACCTGGCTTTTCAGGGATGGGTCTGCGCTCAGCACTTGCCTCTGCCTCTCCAGCTGTGTGAGTACTTCTACCTCATTAAGCCTCAGTTGCATCATCTATACAATGGGGTCAATGTTCTCTACTTCATAGGCTGTTGGATCTAGGAGGTTGGGATTACTGAATATCCATTACTAGTAGTAAGCAGCTAATAGTAATAAACACAAAAACAACTGAATCAAGGGACAAATTCACATTTTTTTATAAATCAAAAAACTCTGGACCAATATTATATTTACAAAGGACATTTCACTCAACAATAACTACATATTTAAATTGCTCTCCTAATATGAAAATGTTCATTTTACATTTTGTAATTAGCAACAAGCTTATTGCAGTAATGTTCTACAAGAAGGAACCTTCTCTCTTTCCTGTATTTCTGGGGAAAAAAATGCACAAACCATGTGTCTGATTAAAAACGATTATCACTTCACACAACAGACAGCGGCTTGATTTCTCCTTTCAACTTCAGTGAGGTAACACTCCTGCATTTGTGACATAGCAGCAGGTTGCCATGGCGATGATAGCTTTATCAGCAACTCTGCCTTGCAATGACTTCACAGCAAGGTTACCAAGAAGCAGATGGGCTGTGAAGGAGACAAACCCTCTTGTCTAAACACAAGTAGCATTGATAATTAATTAGCTAAAGCAGCAGGGGAAATTATGAAAATATGTGAAAGGTAAAATGATTTCTATTTATTATAAACATGATAGTTCTATTCCTTCTGCCAGAGGAAAATCACATCCCTCCCTGCCTTGGGAAGGATGCAAGGCAAACTGAATAAATATGACACCGCTGGGTTCACCTTCTTGATCATTTTTGATTTCTTTGTTGAAGTACCAAAGTCATTTTCTTTTGTAACTCTGTTTTTTAAGGTCCAAAAGAGAGAGTGTAAAACAAAGCAAAACAAAACAAAATGAACCCCCTCAGATCACTGAGAAGATTAACATAGTGCAAGGAGAACATCCTTGGTTTACAAAGGCCCTGTTCAAACGTACCAAACCTCTACTTCAATCCTCCTTTGAGGACTTTCTCACAGCTATAAAATCACAAGGTCTATGCCAGGTTTCGGCTGCAGCCCTTTGTCTGGGCCTGCAGATGGCTTCTGCCTACTGTGGACTCACATGGTCTTTCCCCTGAACAGGCACTCAAACCACAATGTCTCTGTTTGTTTTTATGCTGTGCATGAGAGCTGATCAGATTAGATCAGGGTTGGCCCTAAGGATCTCATTTTCACTTAGTCATTTCTGAAAAGTCTCTCTCTGTAAATACATCCACATTCTGAGATACTGGAAGTTAGATCGTCAGTATAAGAATTTGGAGGAACCATCCCCTCTTTATCATTTGGATAAAATATAAAGTGTTGACTAGATGAGGTGGCTCATGCCAGTAATCCCAGCATTGTGGGAGGCTGAGGCAAGAGAATCACCATTCTAACCCATCCTGGGTCACTTAGTGAGACCCTCTCTCAAAGTAAAATAAAAGGGCTGAGTAGGTAGCTCAGAGCAAAGTGAATGCCTTGGGTTCAATTCCGAGTACCCTACCCCCACCTCCAAAGTTGTTTAACGCTGTGTACAAAGACTTTCCCAGACAAATTTTCACCTCTTTAGCAGCGTTGCCACTGGAAACACCACCACAAGGAGCACAGTGGAAACTTGCAGGATTACTGTTGCTCTGCTAATACCTCCTCCGTGTATGCACACTGTCTTTGCCTCCTCTCTTCATCTTGCCTGTCAACTTCTGCTCACTCTCTTCCGGGAGCAGTCCTGCTCCAGGCTCCTATTGTTGCCTATCTTGCCACTGGTTCTGTCTAGCAGAGTTAACTGCCTTGTCCCTGCCTGGAGTGCTTCCCAGGAATCTCAGTGAATGTGCATGCAAATGTAACCTTTCTAGGCAATGGTGAGAACTGACATGAAGGCTGGCTTGGGTTCCTATTGGTGCTATGTTATCCAGTTTCTCAGCACATAGAACTTTGAAAAGTTTTCTGAATGCTCAGAGACATAGAAATGGGGAATTATGAGAAACAGAAGAAAATGTGTATTCTAAAACAAATACTCTGGTGTCTTTGAGAACCTGCAAAAATGTGAGTTGACAGATGGATATGCGGAAAGCTTTTCTCCCAAATGCAAGCACTGTTCTGAGAACACACTTGGAGATGGGCTCATAATTCATGGTCAGTCATCTGTGTACTATTCTGCTGGTGGCTCCTTGTGTAAATGCCGGGGTTCGAGGCTTACCCTTTCCTCCACTGATAGAGGGCTATGAGTCTGTCTCACAAAAGGAGGGGTCCCTAGCAGCAGAGACAGTGAAAATGCAGTACCTCTTTCCTGCTGTTCTACCCACAGTCCCTGATAAGAGTGAAGTGCCACTCCTCTGCAAGCTCATACTCTGAGTTCTGCAGAGTTGCTGTGCCCCCAGGATCTTTCTGGTTTTGGAGCAAGGATGGCTGTCACCAGCTGTGTTGGTGTCTGTCAACCTGATGCGAGGAACTCGGCTGTACCTTGGGTGCACTGAGGTGTTGATGAGTGGTGATTGATGTTCAGAAAAGTAAATGAAGACCATTCTATTCCCGTATGCATAGATTTTTAAAGGTTCGCTGTGACATCATTAGCCCAAGGTAACAATTCTTACTCTTATAACAGATTCCTGACTTGACTTGATCCGTGTATGTCCTGATTCTTGGTCAGTTCTGGTGCGGGAGAAAGGGATTTAGCTATGTTTGCAACCTTCTCTCCTCATTTTATGTTTACAGTTCTCTTCTACTCAAAAATATACTGCTTAATGATCTTTTCCCAGAAATTTTCTGCCCTAGCTCAGATGTGATATTTTTAATATATGCAAATTACTGCATATGCTTTGACACACAATAAATGTTTGTTGACTGAGTAGCAGGTTAAAATATTGTCTCTCTCACCCTAGCATTAATTGGGATGCAGTTTCTGGAGTTATAATCTAAATTGCAAGTGTTATTTAGATGACAACATTTTCATGGATACCTTTCAATGTCCCTGAAATGTCTGTTCAATCTATCCTAGCCAAGGGTCACTGAATACCTGTTTCAAAAAATAATTTGTACACCAGCTCATGATCATTGAACATAAGTCAGAATAGTTTTAATATAACTTAGTTAAAATATTTTTCTTTACTTTGAACTTGAATATAAATTCAAAATATTAACACTCATTATCAAAAACACCTGAAGTTCTAATTGACAGTTTGAAGTCTTTGGCTAGTTAAAAACCAGAGAATAATTTAAGTATTCCTTGATTAACATAGTATGTTATTATAAAAATATTCCCAAGCATAGGGTCTTGAGGAAAATTGATGTTTAATAATGAAAAGATTAGAAATTCATAACCTAGCTCGAAACTTTCAAAATGAAATAATAATAATGATGACGATAAAAGTTTAATACGTGCTTGCTATGTTCCAAGCACTGAGCTAATATTAGCTAATTCCAAGTCCTCTCTTCCTCTCCCTTCCTCTGGCAAAAAGAGAAACAGGAAAGAAAACATGGAGGAGAACAGAAGAATTTTCCTCACGGATCAACTGTACAGGTGATAAAAGATGTTAGTAAGCTTTAAAATAGACACTTCAAAACAGAGACTTGAAACATCTTGCATAGCTAATAATTAGCATGAAGGGTTTTTTTGTGACTTTTGTAGATAACATAAAGGTCCAAATTACTCTAATTTTCCAATTAGTTGTTATGTATCCCTATCACTGCATGTATTTTGCCATTTTTTTTAGAGCTGTCTTGTTAAGGCTAAATGGGCACATTATCTAACCTTTTCCTTCAGATACGTGATCCTTGCAGTGTGTGAAACTCTCAAGCAAGCTCTGGTTCCTTTGTAAATGCACAAAGCAGGGGGAGGCTCTCCTGACGGCACCTGCCCCCACCCTGCACTCCCTCATCTGATACACAGTCTCTCCTGGAAGGCACCAAGGGGAGATGATATATAATTACTTCTCTGAGGAGGTTTTAAATTATGTGAGTAACTGTCTATCTATAAGAAGAACACAGCCATCCATTCTTTCCCAGGTCAGGACGTGATAAGAACTTGGGGAAGTGAAAAGAACTTGGAGATGGTTTAAAATGAATGACCGGGAGAGTCAATGATTTACGTCCACTATCTGATTTTCCCAGACAAAATGACTAATTTCCAGAGCCTGCAAACAAAGAAAATGAAATAAACAACAAATTTTATGGATAATGCTAAAAACACCCCAGATTCAGAAAGGATATGTTCAGTCTGTGCCAACTGTCACATCTTTAACCCTTCCATCTGTTGGTACACATTAGAAAAAGGATAAAAATCCAAACCACATCTAGCCTGTTAGCTGGGTAATGCGATTTTCATGTTTTTGTGAGCTGGTGAAGCACGCTTGCCTCTCTCTGTGCAGGAGCATGGAGGCTGGCAATTAACCCTGTTCCCTTTAGCAATCACATTTATTTTGGGACCTTGCTCAAATTCCCCTCTGATTGGGCACTATGCTGATGAACTCGCTGGCTCCACTAATGTGGAATCCAAAGGGTAGAAGCCAGGAAAGTGTGGGCTTCCCTCTAAAAAGTATCTGTATTCATAATTGGACAGATCAGAAAATAAAGCATTTAGAGATATTATTAAATGATATTAAAGAAGTTTTCTTTTTTAAAATACACTTTTCCTATTTTTTTCAGCTTTATGGAGGCATAAACGAGAAGTTTTCTTAGTATGAGGTGCAAAGAGTTATGGGAAAACAGAAATGAAGAAAAATAGTCAACACATGAAATACTGTAAAGGTTATTTTGGTTGTGGAAAACCCTGCATCTCTGTGGGAGGAAGTCTGGAATATCTCCTCAGAGTCCCCCCTCTCTATTCCACTCAAAGCTGCCAGTGATAAGAATCCAGGTGCAAGTTTAGGTGGAGGTGTAGTATATTTTGAGTGGTTACAACCAAATCAAGTAGTAAAGGCCCAGGTGAATATGGATGTGCCGGTTCCTGCTGAAGAGCTTCTTTCAGCAATGCCTTTGCTGCAGCCTTGATCTCATCCCAGCTGGGAAGATGGACAGAGGAGATCATGAGCTTGCAAGAATCTATACCCTCTGAGCTGACTTAGCCAGTTTACATGAAAGAATGACCTTGGAATTTCTCCATTCCGTAACCTCACATCAGGATTCTGGAATGCTAAAGTCTTAGAAGGGATGTATAGCAGGGAACTTGAGTTTTTTCATCCTCCCTCACAAATAGAGAAGTACAGACATAGAAGTTATTACCTGCTTGCTATTTCTTTGATAGCACAAGAATCCTTTCTATTTTTTGCTGTGCTCATTAATAAAGCCAAGTATTACATTGATAATTATCTATTTTTCTTTAGACTATACCTTCTTCACCTTATCTGAACAATCCTGCACACCTCCACTCTTAGGAAATCAAGACAAATTGCAACGTATTACAACCACAGCTTTATTTTATATATTTAAGACAATAATAGCTATCAGCTCATTATCTCTTTCAAGTAGTAATTTTATACTACTTAATTTGATTATAGCTAAAAATTTAGATGGCACAGATCATTTGTCTACCTTTGTATTCAATAAACATCTATGACATATTAAATACCACACCAGGTTCTAGGAATCCAGAACTAAATATACAAACCAGATGAAGCTCTTCTTTCTAATGCAGTCTGCTAAAACAGAATTTTGTCTATAAAAAACACTTTGTTACAGAAATTAACTTCTTTAACCTGGTCAACTTTACCCAGGTGAGTTATCAGAGTGACTTCTTTCCAGCAAGGCACATGGTGCCCTCTATTGAACTATTTTCTTCTTCTCTGTGGCTTCTTTTCGAAATGATCATTGACTCCATCTCTCCCAGAACATTTTCAGATTTTCATATTTCTTTTTCCTCTGAACATAAGATTTTTCTCCCTCAGAGATTTGCACTATGAACAATAGAATTATCATCTCTGAATTCCTGGAATGTAATGCTCTGTCCCTTAACCTTCTATCTCAAAACTCAAAGAGACAATTTAAATCTAAATGGCATAACTTTTCTTCCCCTTTCTCACCTTTACTTCTCCAGTTCTTCATAATTTATTGGTGCTACCTGCAAAGAGGTGAGCACTGTCAGATGACGTAAAAATAAAACTCTAGGGCAGATCATACCATCTATTTTCAAAGTTGCTTTAGGTTATTTGTAAGTTTTTCTGAAGATCGGTTCACAATATCATGAGAGATCTCAGAGAAATACCCTGAGATCCCAATCAGTTTGGCTATTCAAGTATGCAAGTTCATAGAATCTCAAGTTTGAGAGATTTAGGCTAACTGAATCAATGATTTTGGTTACTGGAGTGATAGAGGAGAAGGAGGCTGGGGCCCCAGCTCACATAATCTCTTGCTGTTGTGCTGTGAATCATTTGTTATCAGCATTAGTCCTTCTCATTTACTGTACTGGTTGATTGACTGTGCCAACTTGAGTAGGTTAGAAGGTTAACAAACTTGGTTCAGCAATTCCACACCCTAGGGTGTGGAGGAGATGCCCTAGGTTGGCTCATCACCTAGATGATATAAAAGGGAAATGAGGAAGGACAGAGGGGCTTGCATTCTTCAAAGGAGCTCCAGTCTTCTCCTTCAGCTTGGACATATTCTCCTGCCTTCTAGAGCAGACTCTTCGGTGTCCACCTTGGATCTTTCAGCCTTCTGTTGCAGACTCATCAACCTCCTGATATGGACTTGCACGGAATGCTGCAGTGAACTCCAGACCTTGGACTGAATCCTTTGGTCTCCAGGGTGCAGACACTCTCTGCACGTTTCCTCATCCAACTCTGTGGCTGACCGTCGTGAGCCAATCTTATAATTTCCTATACATTTGTATATCTTGTGTTATATCTGTTTCTCTAGTAAAACCCTGACTGACACACTTACCATTGCACAGAGGCCACAGGGAAAGAAGATGCTCTCATTCTTTAGAGTGGACAAAGAAAAGAGACAAGTAACCTTCCTCTTTCCAATATGGTCCACTGGGCAGTGGCATCTCCATCACCTAAGAACTTGTTAGAAACGCACAATGTCAGTCCCATCCCAGATGCACTGAATTTAGATTTGCACTTTACAAGTTCCCCAGTGATTCACATACAAGGAATTGTTGAAAGAATTTTCCTAGCAGACATCTTTTATCATTGGTGAAAGGCAAAGGAAGAACAGGGTTCACCAGTTAAAGAAACAATCCCATGGAGACAAGCTGGGAGAAAAGAGCAGAGGGAACTGAAGTAGATGAGTGTACCAGTGTTACAAATGTGTGTGTGTATGTATGGAGCGAGGGAAAGAGGGAGGGAGGGGAGCGAGGGAGAGGAAAACAACTACACACCTACAAGTTTTCCTCCTACTCTGGATTTCAGCTGGCAGCATTGCTCTCCGTTGACTCCTAGGCCTAACTGGGGTCTGTATCCCTCCTGAGCTGTTCACAGGCAGTCTTCAACAGCAGGAAAAGAACCTTTCATCCTTAGCCCAGTACTAGCTTTGATTAGAATAGTCTTCCTGACATTTCCCGCAATGGCCAGGGGTAGGAAGCTCACTAAAAGACATTCCCTTGATTATTTGAAACATGAATCCAGCAGTGAAATTTTTCTCAAAGTAGTACAGCTCTCTCTGCCTTCTTTTTGCATTTGTCGTGTGGCACCATCAAACAGAATTATTGATTTTCACAGTTTGAAGGAGCCATGAAGGACCAGGCCAGTATCTTACCTAGTGTTCTCGTATTATGGAACCCTTACCATAATACACCCAGCCCTTGCCTAGTGTATGGCTGGATGCCATAAATGAAAGGGAACTCAGAATTTATGCTCAGATGCTGCTGAGCAAACATTACAGCTACCTGGCTCATTATTTGAGAATGCAATATGCCAGAGATGACACATATCAGCCTCTTTTAAGTCCGACATGCTTCTACTATTAAAAAAGAAGTTAAGCTGCATAGTAGTAGTGCAGAGAGGGAAAAAGTCCTTTCATAAACATCTTTTTGCCTAAATGAAAGAAAATATAGTGCTCATAAAATAGTAAAGCCCAGCAAGAGATGCATTGCTAATAATAATAAAATATGCCCCCAAATTTACTATTCTATAGAAAATATTTATTGTTGTTATTACAGTTATTATTACTGCATTACTGCCAATAGTAATGATAGGTTATGTGCTAAGAGACTGGGATTTTGGTATACCGAAGCAAGCATATTTATGAAGGGCCCCATGAAGGAATGGCTTGCATTAATAGAGGAGACTGATAGATCCTCTCACTGCCGACCACCAGGTAGCCATTGGTTGCCTCCCTTTAATAACCATTTAATCTTCTTTCCTGTACTAATCACGTAGTGCAAACCTGTGGCCCCTGCCACTCTGTGACAAGGTGGATGGCACATCAATAGGACCAATGGTGTTGGCCACCAGCCCTACCTCACCCTCAGCCTTTTCCAGGCACCACCCTCTTCTGCCTTCCTCCTGCCTGTGATCTGTGGAGTCATTGGTTTCTGCAAGAATCCATCGGATGGCAATGAGAGAGTAAATAGATGACAGCTGTAGAGTAACAGCTTCAGGAAGAACATCCTTTTGCAAGTCTTATAACCTCTCCCCATGCTGAAAAAACACAAGCCTCAAGAGCTCATGCCACGTCTCAGCATGGCTTTACTGTACACACAGAATTAGGGTCAAACAAGGGCAGAATGAGTAACTCAGGGATACAAAGAGGGGTTAAAATCTTAATGGGCGGAGGTGTGGGTGGGGGAATGGGCAGTAAACAGATATGATGAAACAAATGAGCAGAAGAGAACATAAAGCTGCAGATGCAGAGCACAGCACCAGGCACATCAGGGAACCTCAGGGCATCGTCACACTTGGTGGCGGTCACGTTTCCACCTCGGTACCCTTAGCACCTGTCTCATCCTTGGGGATGCTGGGTCTTTGTTCTTGCTTGGGCGTGGTCTCTCTGCCTCTGCGGGGGAGAGGTCTGCACTCAGAATCCAGCGTGGGGAGGTGTGCCGAGAGTTTGCGTCTATTTATTTCAAAATTGCGGAAGGCACCTGTACTTTCAAACCTCTCCGTATTGAGGGACATCATTTTGCCATCTGGGTGGCAGAATTTATTCTGTGTGAATTATCAAGGCTCATGACAAAGACTTCATCTCTCTTTCTAAAATTTTATTGATACATTTTAGATATGCATAATAATCATATTCATCATAGGAGTTTGTACCTGTGCATAATATATCCTGATTCTTCTTTATTTCCTCAATCCCTTCCTCTCCCTTAAGCTCCTCTTCCCCTCCTTATTTACAAAAGATTTGTTTCCATTTTCTTCCTTCTGTTCTTGTTTTCTTTTCCCTTCCCCTTTTTCCTCCTCCTCCCTCTCTTGTTCCCCTTCCCATTTGAACATTTTCTTCCCATTGCCCAATATCTATCATATATTTTGGTCCTTACTGACATTTTTGGCTTCTGACACCAGAGAAATAATGTAATATTTAAACAAGTGTGACCCATTTATTTCACTTAAGAGTACAGTCTCAGGTGCATCCACTTAAATCTAAAAATGCCTCGTTCATTCTTCTTTATGGCAGAGAAGTACTCCATTGCATAAAAGTACCACATCTAATTTATCCATGCATCTGCTGATGGATAATTGGCCTGTTTCCAAGAGTTAGCTATTACAAACTGTGTTACTATAAACATGGGTGTGCATATATCACTGTGGTATGATGCTTTTAATTCTTTTGGGAAGTTGCCAAGAAAGGAAATAGCTAGGTCAAATGGAACCTCTAGTCCTAGCTTTTTGAGGAATCTCCACACTGATTTCCACCATGGTTGCACCAGTCTGCACTCCCACCAGCAGTAGATGAAGGTTCCTTTTTCTCCTCAGTCCCACCATCATTTGTTATAGGTTTATTTCTTGATGACAGCCATTCTCTCTGGGGTGAGATAGAATGTCAGTGTTGTTTTAATTTACATCTATTGAATGACCAGTGATGATGAACATTTTTTCATATATTTATTTATCATTTCTACTTTTTCATTTGAGAAGTATCTATTCATTTCAGATGCCCATTTTTGGATTGGGTCTTTAAATTTAGTGGGTCTGATTTTTTTGAGTTCTTTATATATTCTAGATATTAGTCTTTTTTCTGAGGAACAACTGGCAAAAATTCTTTTCCCTCCCCATGAGTTAAAAGACCCCATCTCTTGCATGAAATTTCTATTTTTATTAGGGACACACAGAGGTTGCTCCCACCCATAGCACTGTTTTTTCACTTTGCACCTGTAGTTTAGGTAAGTAAAAAGGAGATTATTCAGT